GCGCTCGGGTAATTGGTTAAACCTGTTCCCTATGTCTGGCTCCGCCTCGGCGGCTCCCGTCTGACAGGAAAGCTGGCTGGGCCTGCACCGCTCGCTCGGCGGCTGGCCTCCCCTCTCGCCCCTCCCCTGCGTGGCTGCCCCGGAGCAGGGGCTCCGGGAGAGGCCTGTGACCCGGCTGTCCCTCTGGGCAGAGCCACTTGGCCAGGGCTGCTCGCTGCCCCAACGGAAGCATTCGTAACACCTGTGAGGAGTCAGTGCAAAGACGCAGACATGCTAAGAGCGTGAGCCATACTGCTGCGAAGCCCGTGGGGACTAGTTCTGGAAAGTTCCACGGACAAGAGGTTGTGTAAAGATCTTTCCCTGAAGGTGAGGCACATGGATGAGGCAAGGGTTCAGAACGACTCCCCTGCGTGCCCTCCACGTCAGCCGCATGCGAGTCCAGTCTCACAGGGGCTCATCATACCTCAGCCCTGGCGGGGCAGCTCCTGCCGCCGAGGAAGCCAGCAGGCCAGGGTCCCCGTCCTCACCTTACAGGACGCTGGGCTGCAGGTGAGCGGTGCCGTCGGGAGGGAAGGAGCAGCAGTCGTCGCCTTCCTCTCCCCTTCTCGGCTGCATCTGTGTCTCCGAGAGAGAGACTTTGGTTTGTTCCCTGGAGAGGACCCAAAAACTCCCAAATTAGCAAACCTGGCAAGCCCGCAGCTCAGAAAATAGTTCATCCTGATTCCATGTTTTTCAGGCTCACAGAAGCCTTTATTAATGAAGTCACAACACCAATATTTACCGTCTGCGGGGAGAGGCACAACATGAGGGATGGAGGGGACTGCAGCAGGGACTCCCCGCCCGCCCCACGCAGGCTGGGCCCAGGGAGATTGGCAGTTTCCTTGGCTCCTTCCCAGCCCTTTATGTGGGTGACAGGGGTGCTCTGCCATGATCTTCCCAGACCCCTCCCACACTAAGTGTGACAGGATGTCCAGAGGACCTGCTCACCCGTTCCTCCGCCCCCCACAGTGGCCGAGGATGCCTCTTCTCACCCCCACCCCATGTGCATACCTGCTCCCCAGAGTTATTCCACCTGCTTGGCAGTGACGGTCATCATGTTGTTTAACCAGGACTTACCCAGGTCAGGACTTTCAGGATATGAGGAACCCATTCCTGGGTGATAGAGGAAGGGGACATTGGGATGGGAGAAAGCCCTTTGGTTTCTAGCATTGACTGGACACAAGTGAGGTGGGCAGAGAGTGACGAGAGGTGCTGACAGTCCCAACAGGACCTGGGTCTGTGTTCCCAGCAGAAGGACCTTGTGTGCTTGGTTCCCAGCCTTGTTGCCTGGGCCTTTGACATCTTCCCAAGGAGTCCAACATTGGTCAAGCGCCCATGGTGCACTCACCCACCACTCCAGCTGGAGGATCAGTGTAAGCAAAGGCACAGCCCAGGGAAAACCTGTGGCTTGCTCAGGGACAGGGATGGGTGAGACTGAGGCAGAGGACACCAGAAGCAAGATGGGAGAGGCCAAAGGTGGGGAAAAGGTGGGGAGCAGAGGGAGGGGCTCAGAAAGGAGGTGACATGGTCTTATTTAGGCATGAGGAAGAGTACCCTAGCCACAGCATGGAGGGGGCCTCATCCTTGACATTCATGGAAGTCTCATTATGTCCCCAGTCCCCCAGAAGAGGAGATGTGGGCCAGGCCAGTGGCAGGGGAGCTGAAACCCTAGCCACAGCATGGAGGGGGCCTCATCCTTGACATTCATGGAAGTTTCATTATGTCCCCAGTCCCCCAGAAGAGGAGATGTGGGCCAGGCCAGTGGCAGGGGAGCTGAGGGGCACCATACTGAGGAGGTGTGACTGGGAAGCCAATATAGACTCAACAGACTGGATGGGAGTGGACCGAGCTGGGCAGGGGGAGAGGAAGCTTAAGGAAGGCCCCCAGGTTTCCTCTACCTTGGGCAACAGTGGACACAGCTAACACTGCTTGCCAAGGTGGGTAATCCTAGAGGAGAACACACTGGGAGAGCAGGTGGGGATATGCGTCCAGTCATGTGTGACCATGCTGGATTTGAGGTGCTTGGGCATGGGGTGCAGAGGGTGACTGCCTCAGAGGGTCTGCAGCTCAACAGAGGTCAGCTGGAGACATGGGCCAGAGAGCCAAAGAGAAGTCCTGGAAGTGGATGGGAAGCCCCCAGGCAGAGGGCAGGATGAGGAGGAAGGAGCAGCAAGGACTGACCCTGGGGTGGACAGAGGGGATAAGGCATGGCCGAAACGGGTGCACTCAGAGAGGCCGGAGGCGGTGTCAAAGGTACCAGTGAAGGCAGAGGAGGCAGGAGTGTCAAGAAGGGCATGGCCAGCAGCCGGGGAGCAGGTGAACCCAGAAGGGGGTGGCCAGTGACCATGGTTGGTGACCGTCATTAGCATCAGAAGAGTGGTGGAGCAGAGGCCAAGGAGCAGAGGGTTGGGGAGCACATGGGAGGTGAAGGAGTGGAGACAGGTCTGGACATCGTAAGAGAAAGACTGTTAGGAATGCAGGTTGTGCTTTTCCAGGATGAAGAAAATCTTAACAGGTGACAAGTAGGGAAGACAAATGGACAAACCAAAGGGCAGGTGAACTAAAGAGCTCAGTGGACCCTGCCTTGTAGCTCACTCTTGGGCTGGGGAGGCCCTGAGTCCCTGGGCACCAGTTGCAGGCTCAGCCTCAAGCCCTGTCTCTGAAGCTGTAACCTGCCCAGGGATTCTCCAAGGACAGGTGAGCATCCTGGTGGGGCCAGAACTTAGGGCTGGGACTGTCAGCCTATGTGAATGGTGCCCCCTTGGCCCAGCCCCCAGTACTCCCCTTTCCCGATTTCTCCTCTACTAGAGAAGCCACCAGAGTCTCTGAGCGTGGAGAAACTCTCTCCTTCTCTTCCTCTCTCATGGAACTACCTGAACCTGATTCCACCCCCTTAATAAGTCTGGAAAGACCTGGGCCTAGCCTCCCTCAAGACACAGGATGGCCTTTCCTATGTCTAGCCTCAGTTTCTCCTGCTGCGGAGATAGAGCTACAGACCAGAGTTAACCACCAACAAAGGAGTGAAGTTAATGAATTGACCTTGTCCTACCCTACGTCCCACCCCAAGCTCCTGGGACCTGAACACACTTGCTCTACTGCCACAGCCAGAATCCACCACCCCAGGCTCACAGGCTCTGGGGTTGGCACTGAATGCTTGTGTCATTAAGAGAGACTTTTATTATTCCCAGAGGGAAGGGAGACACAAGGGGATCACTAAGAACTACAGTGGGTGCCTGGAAAATAAATTAAGACAAACGCAGCAAAACAAAAAGGAGATAAGAAATGGAGAGTGGCTGGGAGGCTGCAGTGACGGTGACGGGCGGCCTGCCAAGCAGGCAGACTCTCCAAGGAGAAGGCTGAGTGTCCCAGGCCTCAGCCAGCCCATTTCTTGTCCCTCTGTCAGTGGTGGCCCCAGGCTCCAAGCTCTGTGGGGCCGTGACTCGAGGCCTCCCTGCAGCCTGGCCAGCTGAGTGTCCCAGGCCTCAGCCAGCCCATTTCTTGTCCCTCTGTCGGTGGTGGCCCCAGGCTCCAAGCTCTGTGGGGCCGTGACTCGAGGCCTCCCTGCAGCCTGGCCAGGGAGCAGCCAGAGTCCAGCTTGGGCCCACCCAGGGGCCTGGCCAGCAGCAAGCAGCACTCTGCCCTCATGGGTTCGTGCTTGGCCACCCTAGTCATTGGAGGTGACATCGATGTCCTCCCCATTGGCCTGCTTCGTGGCAATACGCCACCGGTTGATGTGGTGGGATCCCTTCTTCTTCTGCTCAGACTCAGGCCCTTCCTCCTCCAGCTTCTGCCGCTTGTACTTTGTCCTCCGATTCTGGAACCACACCTTCACCTGGGCCAAGGAGGGAGGGGTCACAGATGAGAAACACCCAGGAGACCCCCCAAAGCAGCCACTGGGGTCTTAGCACTTGGGCTGAGCTGGGAGCCAAATGGGGAAACCGAAGCTACCCAGAGTCAGGCTTCTAGGCCAAGGTCCTCTCCTCTGGCCAGCTGCCACCTAACGGGTCTGGAGGACTGCTCTTCCAGGTGAAATGAGGTGGGGTGGGAAGAGGACACAGTGATCCAGAGAGAGGGCAGTTTTCCTCTCAAACAAAGGTAAGGGAGGGAGTCTCGGAGCTGTTGAATATCCTGGTTACTATTGCCACAGCAAAACAGAGGTGAAGGAGCACAGGCTTTGGAACCTAGGAGACCTGGGTCTCCACCAGTTTCTAGGGAAGAGAGAATAATCACTTCCTAGGGTTGATGTGAACAGTAAATGGGACAGCATATGTCAAGCCATTGCATGGGTCCCGATGAGCTCCCAGAGGTCCTAAAGTGGAACCCATACCCTTTGCCGTACAAAGAGGCAAAACATACATGGCTTTGTACCAGGAGGTAGTGTCCACACCAAGAGCAGTGCCTGTGACAGCCAGGCCACACCTAGGGTTATGGAACCTGCCACTGGAAACTCTGTCTAATCTCACATGCTCTTTCCTGTCTCCTTCACCAGGGGGCCCTTTCTTAGCAACCTCATGTGGAATTCCCCCATCCCACATCAGAGGTAGAGCTGTGCAGGCCAGAGCTTGGCAGGTGCGGAGCCCTGGTCCCTCAGGTTCCAGCTCCTCAGGGTCTGAAATCCACCAATGAGGCCCCATCTTCCTTGGACGGATGGGATAGGGAGGAGGGGTGCCTGGGGCCCCACCACAGTGCAGTGCTCTGACCTTCAGGGGCAGCCCTGGACCTCCTGCCCCAGAGCACTGGTCCCTATGGCCCATCCAGAAGTAGGAACAGGTCACAGAAGGATCGGGTGGGAGAAATCCCAGAAGACAGTGAGCTCCCCTTTGACCACAGTGAGCACCCTCCTTCTGTGTCAGGCAGAGAGCCTGATAAGGTGAGGGGTGAGGTGCAGAGACTGGACAACCACCCTCCATGGTGGGGTGAGGTAGGAGGGGGAAAGGCAGGTCTAAGCTCATCTCCTCCAGGAAGCCTCCCTAGATTTAATCCCATCATGAATCATCCCTCTCTTCTCCCTTCTCCTCCAGCATTTGGTCAGTGTCCAGGACACAGCCCTTAACATCCTCTTGTGCATGATCTAGGAGGGTCATCCTGGCTCCTGAACTAGCCTCAGTGCTTGTGGACTGTGGAGAGGGCCTTTGTCCATTCCACCTGACTACATGGTCTTGATGAGCCGGGCCAGACCCAAACCAGCCTCAGAGTTGGCAGGAGGAGCCTCGGTGCCCGTCCTTGGCTAAGTTGCTTACTCTCACTGGGTTTAAGTCCCTCATCCTCATCTCAGGAGAAATGTTTGTTGCAACCCTAGCAGCTCTGGGGCACCTCCTGGACTCTCGCTCAGACGGTCCCTGGGGGAGGTGATGCAGAGAGGCAGGGATGGTTTCCTGGAAATGACAGCACATTTAAAAGTAAGTAGGTGATGCCAACTGCAGCTGTGCAGAGCATGCGTGGTAAGTTGTATGTGTGCGATGATGGTGAGCACCTCGGTTTTGGCAGCAGCATTGGCTACTGAGGGAGATCCTCGAACCCTGGACAGGACAGAAGGTAGTCAGAAACTACCTAGTCCAGCTCCCACTCCCTGAGAATGGGGGAAAGCACAGGCCTCAGCCTCAAAGCCAGGAAGCGGCAGCCAGAAGCAGGCCTGGCATCCGGGCCCTGAGGGTGTTTTCATGCCCAGGATGCACCAGCCTCACACACCCTTCCCAGACACTCCTCTCGGTCCCCTCCATGGATCCCACCCACCTCAGACTGTGCCAGCCAGAGGGTGGGCGAGCTCACCCTGCCTCCTGTGTATGACTCAGGGCTGGAGCAGGGCTGGGGCCTCATTCCTGAGAAGCCCGAGTGGGCTGGATGAAGGCGATCACCAGGTGATGGTGGGTGATACAAGGGACAGAGGACCCCCATGACTCAGGGCTGGAGCAGGGCTGGGGCCTCATTCCTGAGAAGCCTGAGTGGGCTGGATGAAGGCGATCACCAGGTGATGGTGGGTGATACAAGGGACAGAGGACCCCTTTCTGCACTTTTCTCCCTCCCCCACACACTCCCAAGTCTCCTTCCAGGAAGGAGACTCTGACAATCACACTGGCCTCCAGCGAGATGACCCAGCACGCTATCCTTGCCCAGCAACACTGACCCAAAGCTCAAGGGTTTGGATCTAGACTAGCCACCAAAAAAAAAAATACTGGCACAAAGAAGGAAAACTTCTATGGTGCAACTTGAGGAACAAGATGTGTTTTCAGGCCAAGGGCAGCTTCCTGGCACACCTAAGTGAAAGGTGATTCTGAGTAATTTCTCCATGAAAAATACTGGGGTCAAGGAGGCAGCTCTCTAGAAAGAGGGACATAAACCCTCTCCATAGGCAGCCTGGCTATCTTCTGAAGAACAGCCTTGGGCTGAGTGTCCAGATGCTGTTTACAAAGACTGTAGTAACAGGGGGATGCTTATGACTTCATAATATTAGTGAAAAAGCCAGGATGCACAGCATTGGCACAGTGTGATCACAACCATAGAAAAACAAAATCTGCATGGGGAAAAAAGACTAGAAGGAAATGTACCCAAAGTATGGGTGACTTCTTTCTTCTTTCTGCTCTTCTGAACTTTCTTTAATACATTACGGAAAACGACATTAATGTTTACTTTGACAAATAAAAGGAACTGGGTTCTGAGTGTAGTAGGAGATAAGAGTGATATCCCATGACCTCCCTAACCCAGCCGGGCAACTCTGTGGTCATCCCAAAGCTCCTTCCCTAGAGGACAGAGGACCTAGAAAGAAACCAGGTCACATGATATGGCTACCAGCTCTATGAAAGCCAGCTTAGGAGTCTGTACCTATTCTGCATGCATCTTACCCCCAATACCAGCCTCTCTGTCAGCCCCCAAAAGACAGTTGAGATGTTGGCTGGAGGATCCCTTTGCCCAACTCTGACCTCTCTGGGTTTGGAGAAAGGTTCCTTGTGGTCTCACAAGTCCTCACCTCACTTAATGTCTCTCAGTTTCTCAGAGAGGCCAGATCCTTCCAAGACTCTCCACTTTTGCCTGACTTACCCAACCCAGAATAGTCTCAGCCTGCAAGACATCCTGCTTGGATGTTCCTAGATGGGATCTGCCCCATCACCTGCTTGTCCTTTTTCCCTGTCTCAGTAACAGTGACCTCAGCTGCGCACTAATTTATTTATTCACATCTGTCTCCTCACCAGACTGTAAGAATCTGGAGAATGAAAGTGGTGTGATAGTCAGCTTTGGGGTCCGAGTGCTCAGCCCAGAGGACATTTTCCACGTATAGTCACCCAACTGGGCAGAGGTGAGGTAAGATAGCTCTATGCTCTAGGTTAAAGGTGCCTGGGCCAGACCTCGAAAACAGGACAAAATCAATAGAAGAGGGATTGAAGTCTAATCAGAAAATGGGTTTGGGAAGAGCCAAGTGCTAGAGAGATGGGATCCTTTTTTAGCTTAGTTTAGTGAACAGTTTTGCAAGAGGGCCAGTTCTTAATTCTCCATGTGGTAGATTGGATTAGCCACTTTGGGGGAGGGAGTGGGGGAGAAAGATGTATAACTGGAGGGGGGAGCAAGGTCCAGCTTGAGTCAGGCAGGATGAAGAGGGTGAAACTGCTGTGGATGAATGAATGCATCAGTTCATCAGAGTATTGATCAATGTACGCATTAATGAATGAAGACATCCATGTATTAATGCAAGACTGAATGAACAAATGAACTAACAAGCTCCAGCCAATATTTTCAGAGTTAATCAGACTTTACTTTTGAATAAAGTAAACGTTGAATGAATGAGGTCTAGATCCCTTCTTTTCCATCTCTCCTCCAAACTTAGCCCATCCCAAATGGAAGGGTCTATGGCTCCAGACCCCTACATACTTTCAGGTAAATACCTGTTCTGTCCTCAAGGAGTTCAGATATCCCTATTAAGGCCTTGTAACTCTAACATAGGAAGTTCCTTTTGTCCTCCTATTCTGTCATCCTCAGATACGGAGAAAATCCTCAGAGTAGATAGTGGCTTGGAGACATCAATCAAGTCACCCCTCAGCCTACTCTTTTCCTGGCCCTATTGTCTGGGAATCCATTTCCTATCATTTGATCATATGAGCTGTTCCTACTCTCAGGGGTCAAGCCCACTGCCCTGCTAAGTTCAACCCTCACCCCACCAAGCTGAGGTCACCTCCAACTCCCTACCAACCATAGTTCTAACTCTTCCTAAGCCTTCTTGTCTCCTCCTCTCTCAGCCTGTCCTGGACCCTCACCCTCACTCTCAGAGAAACATCACAAAATTAACCTGTCTCCTCAAGACTTGTCCCCTGTCCCAACTCCTCAAGGAACAGCTGAAATCTCCCTTACCTCCTCCTCACCCCACCACACAGGACTCCTGGAACATCAGAGATGCAGAAGTTCTTGGGGAAGAGCCAAGACTTAGAGAAGGGATGTGTTCATCTCAGAACACACAGTGAGCTAGTAGCAAAGGTCTCTTGACTTTTCCCTAAAACTCAAGTTGCTTGGATATCTCCTTCTCATCCATACTTCTAAGGGCAGGACATTCCAAAGCAGGAAGAGACCCTAAGAAGCCTCTTTACCATGCCTCTAGGGGGTGGGGGGAGAACCCATAGGCAGGTGACCATAAACTTCTGCCTCCCAAGACATCCCTCCTTGCTTCTCATCCATACTTCTAAGGGCAGGACATTCCAGAGCAGGAAGAGACCCTAAGAAGCCTCTTTACCATGCCTCTAGGGGATGGGGGGAGAACCCATAGGCAGGTGACCATAAACTTCTGCCTCCCAAGACATCCCTCCTTGCTCTCAGGCTTCAAGACGGCAACTGGACTTGGTGACTCCTGCTTCCTCTTAATCTGCTAACCTCAAACCCTACCCTTCCTTTCCACAAATCTAGAATCCTAGGCATCCCTCCAAGCCTTCCATGTCTGAGGCCTCCTGGGAGCCTTCCACCCATGCAGATCTCCCCTGACCCCCTCAGCCCACAGCTGTGACCTCAGGGTGACCCCAGTAGCTCATCCTTTACATGTTCTGTGAGTGTGCAAGCATTGCACTTAGCCTCCACCATTAAATGAGGAATCTCCAAAGCCAAGGAACACATTTCTGCACTCTTTTTCCTCACAGCTCAGCTAAACTCAAAGCCAGGCAAAGTCAAGAAACATTTGATGATTGGTACAGAGCAGGAAGGGCAGCTGGAAATACTGACCAATTTATCATCCTGGAGCAACCATATGCTTTCTCTCACTCCCCCTAAAATTAACATCCTCCCATAAACAAACACAAGAACACACATACACAGAAGCATGCAAGCTGCACTCGATGTCATGTGACTGCCTACTGGCATCTGATGCATACCTATGATATCACCTGACCTTTAGGCATCAATCACACTAAGCCCATACGTGCCCCATATTGTGGGCACACACATGTTACACATGCCCATCACACACAACACCACACTGGAGGCTCTGATCTGACCTAGGCTTGGATCAGCCCAACCAGCACCAGGACTGAAGCTTAGACAGGTGCTTTACTGGTCAAACTCCAGGGCTGCACCACAGCAGCGAGGGGCAAGTCATTAGAACAAGAAGGGAGAACTGACCTTTGCCCAGTGCCCCTCCCTCCACCTCCTAGGTTGACCCACTGGCCATCCCAGCACAAATAGCCCACTCCCAACTAAACATACTGCCTTATCTCAACAAAGCAGCTCAGGAAGCCCACCTTCCAGCACCTCATGCTGAGCTTTGGGAGTATAGAGACCCTTGAGCTCTAAATTAAGATCTTGCCCGCACACTAATCTGCTTAACCCTCCCAGAAGTTTTATCCACAAACTGGGGTTTGCATCATCTAAATCAATAACCAGCTGTGAAAATGCAAGGGAAAGATAGAAGGAGAGGAAAAGGGAGGGAGCAGTGACAGCAGAGAGCAAGAGGAAAGACTGATAAAGCTAATGTTCAGATGTGTGTGGAATCAAGAGAAATTTGTCCATTCATACAATATATGTTTATTGAGCATCTACTCCATGCTGGACACTGAGCTGGGCCCTGTGGGAAATAGTCAGGCTTGGCTTCTGCCTCCCAGAGCTAAGATGCTTATGCCTGTTGTTCCTGAGGATCACCCAGAGAGCTGTTTTTAAAAGCTCTTTCCTGGGCCCCATCCTGGACCCCCAAGAGAATCTCCTGGGTGAGGCCTGGGAATCTGTATTTTAAGATCTCCCTGAGAGATGGAGGCAGCTGTTCTACATGTCAGACTTGGAAGATAATTAAACAAGTAAAAACAGCAAAGCTTGATGCATATTATGATGGGTAGGGATATAATGCAAGCTCTGAGAATGTGGAGATTATACAAAAACACAGAAAAGTAAAATATAGATGAGCCACAGAAACACAGGGCTGGAATGAACCCTGGAATTCATTTCATTCATTCTCACAGATACAGCAACTGAGGCCCAGAGACAAGACAAAGCTACAGCCGACGAGATGATCGATAGCCCTTAGCAGACAGAATATACTGTGTAAGTTCCTAAATAGCTCTATAGAGACGGAAGTTTGAGATAGATGGTGCACACGCAGAATATAAAACAAAATAGAGGATAAAGAGACAATCAACAGATGGGTAAATAGGAGTCACTGTTAGGAAGAAGAACATAATTAATAGAAAATAGGAAATATAAATTAGCCAGTTTGGGGAGGCAATTATAATGAGCAGACAGACGTAGATGGCTAGATATAAAACAGCTATCTGTGAGGGCTCTTAGAGAGCTCTGAGAGACAAATATAGATTTTAACAGTAGAAATACATGGTGGGGCTGATGGGAGTAACTGATGCTTGACAAATAGCTTAGAGCTGGAAATGACAGGTAAGCTTGCTTGGTAAATATGGAGAGGTGGATAGATAATTAGACAGATTAGAGAGCTCTGAGAGACAAATATAGATTTTAACAGTAGAAATACATGGTGGGGCTGATGGGAGTAACTGATGCTTGACAAATAGTTTAGAGCTGGAAATGACAGGTAAGCTTGCTTGGTAAATATGGAGAGGTGGATAGATAATTAGTTAATTATATAGCATAGGTCCAAATGATAAGTTTCAAGGGCAACAGAAAGACAACTCTGATGAGGGAGGCTGGATGTGGCAGGAAGAACAGTGGACCAAGAGGGCACCCAGGTTTGGATCTCATCATGCCACTAACTTGACATATTACTTTGAATAAAGGGAAGGAAAGGGACTGGGGATGGGAATTAATATTATTTGAGTTCATATTAGGTTGTTTAAGGATTAAAGCCACCTATTTTCTGGATGAGGAAACCAGAGCTCAGAGAGGTTGAATAACTTGCCGATGGTGACACGGTCAGCTAGCAGGGAGGCAAGTATTTAAAATCAAGTCTGCCTGCCTAGGGAGCTCTGCCCAGGACATCTCTCCATCTCAGGGTCCTCGCTTGGAAAGACAGGCAGCCACAGGAGGTTATTCAGGCTCAAACCTTCCATGGTTCTTCTTGTTTCATATGCAAAAAGCAGTTCATTTACAGATGAAACAAGGTTAGCCATAAATTTTGATAGTTAATGAAGCTGGATACATTATATTATTCAATCTGGTTTTGTTCTAAATATATGTCTGAAACATAATAAAAATGAAAGACAATCGGTTCATTTACTAACTGCATTGTTAGGAGCAAATATTGACAGGCAGCTAGATTGAGTTTGAAAGAAAGTTAATTAAAAATTCTCTTGCTGAGCTTAAAAACTGAAAGTTTAAAAACAATGACATTATTTCAACAAGTATTAATCTGTGGGTGGTGGGACTATAAACCGTTTTGTTTTCTTACGCTTCTACAGTTAAAATTTAATAAATATTACTTTTTAAATAACGCTAATTATAAACACCATTCTTAAGTTGACACCTTGTTTTAAACAATTTCAAAACACTGTTTGCCAGGGGGCAAAAAGGGGTGTTATTTTACTAACTTATTTTTTAAAATATCTTTAAAAAAAACATTTTAAAGATTAACTCCGTTGTTTCATAAGTTTTTTCTCTGCAGTTAGAACAGCCCAGGTAGCAAATCTGAAAACAGGTCCTACCATGCAACTGGGAGCGATGCACCGACTAAGTGGGGCATCAGACAGATATGACAATAGATGCCAAAATGCGACAGAAGAAGAAGAGGGTGAGGTCGGCTGCAGGGAGCTGGTGATGCGGTTAGGGTCTGGGCTCCTCTCCTAGGTCCCCTTTCTACCCTGCTGCTAACAGTAGGCCCAGGTCGCCCCTTCCCTTCTCACCGTCCGGGACTGGGGAGGAGTAGCAGGGAGCGTGACCAGGAGGAAAGGGGAGCGAAGGTGAACTGTAACCCGGTGGGAGTTGCCGAGTGGCGCGAGCCGACGTCTCCCATTCGCAGATCTGGGAGCTGGCGGGGACGCAAGGCCCATCCAGACACTGAAATCCGCCTCCAGGACAGCAGCTGTGCAGAGGGTCGCTCAGCCGCTCCAACACGTGGGACCCCAGGTGGACCAAGAGCTTAGGCAATGCTTCCAGGCAGCCATTTATTTATGGCAAAGGTTTCCTTACAGTGAACCCAAATCTGCCTCCCTGTAACTCATGTAATTCTTTAAAAAATGTTTTCTTAATTACAAAAATACTACACGGTAATTGTAATTTCATCCATTTCATACCCCTCCAACAACATCAGGACTTATTCCCTCCCCAACTCGACGGCTTTTCCAGTGATTGAGAACAGCTCCTGGGTCCCCAGAGTCTACCTTCCCACCATTCCCAGGCCCCTCACATGCTCCGTGCGCACACACCGTGGTTTCCGGAGCCCTAGCAGCCTGCCTGCGCCGGGATCAGTGCCACCCTCGGACCCAAAGCAGGGACTGGCTCCTCCGTGGCTAAGCCCCTCTGCTTCTGACGCTGAGAACCTGAGGACACCCGGGCTTTCTCCCCACACCACATCCGCTGGCGGGCAGCCGAGGCCTCCGCCAGCTTTGCCCATGCACAGCCTGGAAGCCGGTACGGGGAAGGCCAGGTTATCCCGCAGAACTGTGAGCGCCCCGAGACAGTGGCGGGAGAACAGGGCTGAGACCCGCTCCAGGGGACACGGTGCTGGCCCGCACTGCCCTCCCCGGGGGAGGCCTTCTGCCTCCTAGTAATCTGGCCCCTTCTGAGTGGCTTTGGGAGCGGGACTCGGATACGGTTTGTATTTATTCTGCCTCCTGCTGGGGCCTCAGTGCTTGATAAAGGACCTGCGGCCTCAGCAAGCTCGACACAGTAGGAGGGAAAGGGCTCTAAAGACGGGCTTGCCGGAGCGCCGCGGGGCGGCTTTCGGAACCCGGCGGGAGAGAACTCGGGGCTAGGAGGCTGGGGGACGAGGCTCGGGTGGGTCCTGCCCCCGCCCGCCTCCCTTGCACGCGGGTCCCGGGCGCAGTGCCGGGCGCAGGGCAGGCCGAGGCGGGGGTGATTGTTACCTGCGTCTCGGAGAGGCTGAGGCTGCCGGCCAGCTGCTTGCGCTCGGCGCCCACCACGTAGTGGTTCTTCTCGAAGGCGCGCTCCAGCCGCAGCAGCTGCGAGGGCGAGAAGGCCGTGCGGATCCGCTTGGGCTTGCGCGCGAAGGGGCCGTGCAGAAGCAGCCCGTCCTGGGGCACGTCGCTCGCTGTGGCCGCGCGGCCGACGGCAGCACACGCAGGGACAGACAGGGAGAAGGCGCGCGTGAGCTGCAGCCGGGCCGCCCATCCCGCTCCCACGCGCCCTGCCTTTAGGCGCTCCGCTACCCTCTCCAATCTCTCTCTCTCGCGTACACTTCTCCTTTCCCTTTTGTTGCCCCTTCCCTCCCCACCGCCTCCCCACATTCCGAGAGCTACCCCGGGAGACTCGAGGACTCGCAGCACTGCACTGTTAGGCCAAGAGGCGGTGAGGTGCCGACCAGCCCAAATCCACGCTGCCTGGAGAAGCCGAAGAAGAGGCCAAGAGGGGGCAAAAGTCCCTTGGCTCTCTTTCTTTGACCTTTCCCGGCGGCAGCGCTGCCCCCACACCGGCCTCCATAATTTGCTTTTAATTAACTGGATGCAAAGCATCTCCCTCAAAGAGGACCAAGAGTAGAAGGGCTGGTGCCAGGAAGGTGTCAAGGGGAACAGCCAGGCTGTTGGGCAAGCCCATGCCAAACCCAGATTCAGGAACGAGAAGGTGTCCAAGGAGCTCTCCTTTCACACCTGCTTAAACTAGTCTTGCAGCTAAATGCTCAGGCTACTCGCCCATAGAAAACTCCTGCCAACAGCCCAGGCTTTATCTTGCAGGAGTTAAAAATAGGCCAGGGGCGAGGTTAATGGTCCAGGCAGTGCCTGGAGATCTAAAGTCAGGCTCCTTCTTCCCCCCACCCCATCTCTCTCTCCCCAAGCCTTGGCTGCCTGGAGGCTCAGCCTCTAGGGTGAAACCTTGCCTCGCACAGGAGACTCTTACTGCTCTCTGGTGGGAAAAGTCCCTGCTTCATCCCTGAACAGTCCCATGCTGAAGAAACATGTGTATAAATATCTAGATGTCATATTTTTCTCTAATATATATAGATATAGATATATTGGTTTCTGCATGGGCGTGTGTAAATATATACTCCAGCCTCCCTACTGTCTTTTTCTCCCATCTACTGTACATGATTTTCAGAGTGTGACTGTCCTTTGGCAAATGTTGGCCATCATGGTGATTCAGCTCCCACACACAGAAGGAGGGATTAACACTGAACTGGATGAGGCTGGGGTGGTGGGTCAGGAACTACAAAAGCTAAAACCAAGCTTCCACCCACAGCCACAGTCTCAATGAACCCCCCACTAGGCCCTCACATGACTTCTGGCTTAGTTGCATGTGCTGCCTCAAAACAGGCCCTGACAGCACCACCCGTGGATTTTCAGGCACTGGCACAATCCCTCTGACCCACCAAGGACATGGAGCCCTACATGGAATGTTTTGACAGTTAGTTGTTGAGATTGATGGATACAATTAATTCCTTCAGAGATGGCCACTGGTTTGACTCAATTTGACCTGTTGTTTTGCTTTTAAGACAATTATCTGGATATTTCATCGAGATCTCCCATTTCTGGAAACGTCTATATAAACGAAGCAAAGGAAAGTAGTAATTGAGATTCTGTTGCTAAAACTCTCCAGGTAACTGTTCATGTCCCTCTGCTGGTGGAAACTGCCTGACCTCACTTTCTCCAAGTCCCTGGGCTTTGGATACCTACACAGAACAGCTGTATTGCTGGAATGTTCTGTGGACAGTGTTGCCTAAGATTGAGAAGCTAGTGCCTGGAGGGGGGGGGGAGACAAAGTCGCTAACCTCCAGTCACCTTATCCATTTCAAGTTGCTGTATCTATGCTGCTACAAGAAGGGGTGGGACCATACCACAGGGAGATGGAAGAGGAACACCCTGTATAAGGTGAGGGGAGGCTCAGAGCCCTCAGGCCTGTCTGAAGGAAAACAAGTTTAACTTGGGGTGGTGGAGGGGACAGATGATCAGGGGATGTGGCCTGGCAGAGAGGGGAAAGAGGCAGAGAAATGAAGAGCATGCTCCAGGGAAAATAAGGAGAATTAAAATCCCTGGGGTGGGGGCCAATGTGGTTGGCTGGGGAAAGGTGGAGAGGAGGGTGGGAAGCAAATACTTCTTGTTGATGTTAAAATGAATTACTTTGAAAAACAACGTCATTTTGAGCGAAGGTGAAGTCCCAACAGTGGTTTCCTCTGGACAAATAAACAAGAGGAGGAGGGAGAAAGCCTAGCTCATCACAGTGTTCTCAGGGTTTGGCCTCAGCTGCTGGGCTGGCCCAGGTCAGAAGTGAGGCTGCAACGTGGAAAGGCCCTGAAGGTGTGTGTGAGTGGGATGCAGAAGTGAGAAGGTCAGTGTGGGGCTGAGAAGTCAGGACTGCAATCTGCTCCAGTGTGTGTGACTTCGTGGCTGTTTTGTGATTCTGTGGTATGTGCCAGTCACCTGTGTGGTGAAGGCTGCATGTTTGTCTGTAAACCCAGAGTGGAGGATGGAAGCAACACACTCCTGTCCTGCTGTACAAGCTCCTTTGCCTCAAGCCCAGCAATTTAAAAGGAAAGCTAGGCTTGGAGTCTACCTCTGAAAGAATGGCCCCAATTCACTGTAGTGTCTATGGTATGTGTCCCACAGTCTTTGTCCACATGCATGTACAAAAACAGAGGTTCTAACCCAACCAAGAAGAAGCAGTAGGCTGGAAAATTATTCAAGATGCTGCTAAGTGATGACAGGTTATTTGATTTTAAAAGAAGCAGGGCTTTTCCCTGTAAAGAGGATGCTGAGTACAAAACTAAACACGCTGAGAAACTGATCAATTGCTACACGTTTCTGTAAGGACAGGCTGGTCCCTTAGATGCCTATGTACCTGGACTCCTCTCATTATGACCTGTAGGGAGGCCCTAACCATCCACACCACGTCTTCCGTTTCCTTTGACTAGACCAGGAAAGCAAAACAAGCTTGGGGCTGAGGTGCAGCGTGTTTGGATGAAGTAGGTCCCGGCTGTGAGAACGGGTTGTCAGTTTCAGACTAGGACAGGTGGGAAAGTGGAAAGGGACTGTCAGAGCCTTCCCTGGAGCTGGGAACTGAACACTCCCCGCCCCCCAACCCCCTCCAGCTTTCCTACAGCCTCTCTCTGCGGGCCTCTTCAAGGCAATGGCTGGAAACTAGCAATAGAGACTCTCAGGAATGGGGCGGCTGCAGGAGGGGGCTACGGATCGGAAGCACCCTGGGCTCGAGCTGTCGGCCCGGCTGGAAAGGCCTCGGCCGGCCAGGGGCTCAGAGCCGGATGGCGAGGCGGCGGGGTCTGGAGCTAGGAAAGGGAGAGGCAGGCCAAGCAGCGAAGATAACCCCATTCCTCCTTCTCCTGCCGGAACAAAGGCGCCCTTTGAAGCACCGGCCCATTTACCATCGCTGGTCCCGGAGGTCTGGGTCACCCACAGCCCCCTCCAGGCACGGCTCCCAGGCCCGGAAACTTCTTGATCTCTGGGAAGTAGCGCCGAAATTCGGCCCTGTCTTCGCCGGCCCCTCCCCTTTGGGCCTCGCAAGCGGGCCCGGGCTTCGGGGTCCCGGCCATTCTGCGTTCGCTTTTCCTCTTCCACCGCCTCGCTTAGCGGAGAAGCCGCTGCTCCGCGCGCCGGGACCGCGCCGCCCGAGAGCGCTGCGCACACAGCGCTGACACGCTCCTTTTTCGTTCGTTCGTGTAGGGTTTCGTTTCTTGCATTAAAACCGGGCTGAAATGAGCATCAGAGAGACCCGGTTCTCTAGAAAACGCGGCGCCGGAGGACCGGGGACGGCTCGACTCCCAGCCCCGAGGCCAGGCCGGGACCGGAGGGCGCAGAGTCGCCCAGGCGCGCGTTGGTCTCCCGGGGCCCCAAATCTGCAGCATCTCAGAGTTCGAAAAGTCCTTCCGTGCCCAGTGGATTTCTGTGTTCGAAAATGCGGCCACACGTGGCTCCATCTCCGCATCCAGACACGGTTCTTGAGAGAAAAATCCAACCGTTTGTGCCATTCGACAACGTACCCGCTGAGCCCGATTGCTCTGGCAGAGGCGGCAATTTCCGAGAGGGTTTTGCGGAGGATTTACGCGGCCTCGCCTGCCTGGGGATGCTCAGAGCCGGAGCTTGATCTCTCTCTCGAGGCGCCCTCGGCCTGCGCGGGAGAAGCCGGAGGCGCGAAAGACCGCGCGGAGAGCACGGGGCGCCGGATCCGAAGCCGAGGGCGCCGTCCGGGAGGCCGCCTCCGGACAAGCCACGCCGCTGGAGGCCACAGGACTTGGGACCGGCCCTGCCCTCTCCTCTTTTCCTTTCCCTGAGTCCCTTTCCCTCCTACTATCTCCCTACCCGCGGGCCCCTCCGCCGCCCCGGCCGGCGGGCTCGCAAACCGCCGCAACTCCAACTCGGCCAGTGGGCTCCAGGCTGCAAAACTCAGGCTGAGGATCGAGCCCACGGAGGACCGGGGCAGTCTGCTCAATCTTGAATAAAACCTCATTTTGTCAGTAAACATTGATTTTAAGTGACAGGAATTCTTGCCCCAAACGGCTGACATCGTAGGGTTTTTTTTTCTTTTTTTCTTTCTTTCTTCTTCTTCTTCTTTTTATTTATTTATTTATTTATTTATTTTTACATTTGGATTTGGGAAAGTCTTTGAAATCCCCAGAGGAGGTAAGTCTGCCCACAAAAATTCTTGTTCAAATAATTACATTCTCTGGTTTTGTGGGATCTGCCGGGTCAATATCTATTGCCCAGGTGGGACTGAGAAAACTGTCTGGCAAATCGGGACCCGGAAAAGCGGTTTTCTGTGAAACAGTCAAGCAGCCATACCCAAAGCTTCAACATTTTTCTTTTAGTATCAAATAATTGGACTAATCATCAAATTTACTTTGTGTAGACCTGGCTTGTCGTCAGATTAGCTCTAGGAGCCGGAAGCTCCAGGCATATCCTTTCATTTGTTTCACTAAAAGCAGGGTTACCTAGCTCTGAGCCATGGAAGCTCACAGGCTGGGGTCTGGTCTACACTAACAAAATAAAACTGGAAACTAAGCAATTTCTGCATAAATCAAGGCCATTCTTTTAAAGATAAGAAAGAAAGAAAGAAAAGAAAAACAAACTCCAACAAATTCAAGGAAGAAAATGAACTCCAACAAACGCAACTCTCTTTTCTTTGGAAAAGTCAAGTATTTGAAACGTGTGTGTGTGTGTGTGTGTGTGTGTGTGTGTGTGTCCAGTGGGACATCTTCATTAGCAAACTGATTGCTCGGTGCAGAAAAGGAGGCTCAGACTGGCTGCAATCTCGAAAGCCCCCTGCCCCCGCCCCCTGTCTGGAAATACTGCCTTCGGTTCCGCAGTAGCCGGGAGGGCTCCCGGAGGCTGCCAGCGGCGGAGGAAGCCAGTTTGTTTATTGCGAACCTCCTCAGAGAGGCACGTGTGACTTGGGAAGTCCGGCCGAGGTTGCGGAGAAACATCCCTAGACTGCAGAGCACTGCACACTGAACATTAACTCTCCGCTTCGCCCTCCCTACTGCCCCTGCTTCCCACAGAGCCGGGGCACGCGGATGGACTTTCCCCCGCCTGCCCGCGCCAGCGAGTGCAGATCCCTGGGAGTTGGTGATGGACGTGCGAGGGTAGTACGGTCCCAGGTCAAGCCGGGGCGGCGGGCGGGCGGCGGGCGCTGCGCTTTCTGGGCTTGGGCTGAGACTGGCTCAGCCGAGATGGATAATAGGACAGACCATGGGGACGGCCGGGAGAGGCTCCAAGGATGAGCCAGGGCTTGGCGTCCGGACCGGCATCATTCCTGGGAAAGCCTGGAGGTCCCAACCTGACTCTCCGGGAGGGAGAGCAACGCGGCAGAGGCGCGGGTAGACCCGGAGCCGTTTTTCCCGGCATGGGAATCGACCTCTGTGGACCCGCAACCTCCTCGGTAACAACTTCTGAACAGCCCCGCGCGCCCCCAGCCACCCCCGCGTCTCCGCAGCGCGGGCGCCGGCCGGCCGCCTTGGCGGTCACAGCGTGGGCACTCACCCTGGAAGCGGTGGCCGAAGAAGCGGTTTCGCAGGACCCAGGGGTAGAAGTGGAGAGGGTCCCGGTGCTGGGCGCCGAAGAAGGAGTGCGGGGTCTGCAGCGGGGAGGCCCCCAGCTGGTGCGCCGGGTGCACGGTCAGCGCGGGGTGGTTCATGGCCTCGGGGAACACGAGCTCGGGCCCACCGTAGAGCGAGCGGCCCGCGCTCGCGGCGGCTGCGGCGGGGAAGCCG